TGACCTGTTCTTTGGTGTGTGTGTGCGTGTGTGTGTGTGACCTGTTCTTTGGTGTGTGTGTGTGTATGTGTGTGTGCGTGTGTGTGTGTGTGTGCGTGTGTGAGTATGTGTGTGAGTGTGTGTGTGCGTGTGCGTGTGCGCGTGTGTGCGTGTGTGAGTGTGTGTGTGCGTGCGTGTGTGCGTGTGTGTATGCGTGTGTGTGTGCGTGTGTGAGTGTGTGTGCGCGTGTGTGCATGTGTGTGTGTGTGTGTGCGCGTGTGTGTGTGCGTGTGTGTGTGTGCGTGTGTGTGTGTGTGTGTGTGTGTAAGCCAAGGGCTGGAGAAATGGTGTGATAGTTAGGAATGTTGCCAGCTTTTCCAGATTGGAGTTCAATTCCTGGCACCCACAGGACAGCTCACAACCTTCTGTAATCTAGTTCCAGGGGCTTCTGTGTCCTCTTCTGACCTCCACAGGCTCCTGCATGCATGTAGTGCTCATGGCAAACATCCATCAACACAGATACATAATTTATCAGTATAGTCAGAATAGGGCAGGGCGCACCTTTAATCCTGGCACCTGGGAGACAGAGGCAAAGTCAGTCAGAGCTACGTACTGAAACTCTGTTTTCAGTAAATAAATAAATCCTGGATACTGGGCGTGGGGGAGTGGTGTGCACCTTTAATCCCAGCACTCCGGAGGCAGGAACAGGCAGATCTCTGTGAGTTCGAGGCCAGCCTGGTCTACAGCGTGAGTTCCAGGACAGATAGGGCTACAAGAGAAACCCTGTCTCAAGAAACAAAGCAAAACAAAACAAAAAGTTGGACAGTCAATAGCTAGGCAGGAGAGAGATCACTGGGTTGGAGAGTAGAGAGAATAAGGAGGAGGAGAAATATAGGCTCAGGAGAGAGGGGAAGGAGAACAGAATAAGGGAGAAAGAGGGACAGGTCTGGGGACAGGCGGCCTCCGCAGGACGTACAGAATGAAAGAGGTAAAAAGCAAACATAGACGAGGAGAAACAAGATAAGTTATAAGAGCGATCTAACTGGGCTGGAAAGATGGCTCAGTGGTTAAGAGCATTGCCTGCTCTTCCAAAGGTCCTGAGTTCAATTCCCGGCAACCACATGGTGGCTCACAACCATCTGTAATGACGTCTGATGCCCTCTTCTGGCCTGCAGACATACACACAGACAGAATATTGTATACATAATAATAAATAAATATATTTAAAAAAAAAAAAAAAAAAAAAAAAAGCGATCTAACTAATAACAGTCTCTGTGTCGTCGTTTGGGGGCTGGCTGGTGGCCCAAAGAAAGTCTGCTACATTTCAGTATGTAATGGAACTGGCTACACACACAGGACTGTTCCATTCTGTCTATCTTTCAGTGTTCAGCGGGGGTTACATGAAGAGTGTGCCCTTAGTTTTAAAACAACTCATACAGGATGTAGTGGGTTGTGGCCGACCTGTGTCAGGTGAGGAAATAAACTCCCTTGCCTGTAGATGAAGGTTTCCTGTCTGGACTGCCCCACCCCCAGGAACCAGCTCAGAGGCTGAATGAGAATTATAAAGGCTCGGCCAATAGCTCAGGCTTATTAGTACCTAACTCTTACACTTAAATTAACGTGTATTTCTATTTATGCTTTGCCATGTGGCTCTTGGCTTGTTACCTCATTTTCTACACAACCTACTTGTTCCACGGATAGCTGACTGGCCTTCCTCCTGACTCCACCCTCCTCCTACCCGTCATTCTCAATTTCGTTTTCCCACCTAACTTTCTGTCAGCTTTTTATTAACCAATGAGAGTAACACACACTAATGTAGCAAAGGATTGTTCCACAGCACACACACACCCCTTCCCTCTCCCTTCCCCTCTTTCTTTCTGAGACAGAGTTTCCCTGTGTAACAGCCCTGGCTGGCCTGGAACTCACTCTGTAGATCAGGCTGGCCTAGAACTCAGAGATACACCCTCCTCTAGGCATACATCACCACACCCAGCCTGTCCCTGCCTTCTTTCCTTTCTTTCTTCCTTCCTTCCTTGCTTTTTTGTTTTTTGTTTTTGAGACAGGGTTTCTCTGTATTGCTTTGGAGCCTATCCTGGAACTAGCTCTTGTAGACTAGGTTGGTCTTGAACTCATAGAGATCTGCCTGCCTCTGCCTCCCGAGCGCTGGGATTAAAGGTGTGAGGCACCACCGCCAGGCTAGCCTTTCCCTTTCCATTATTGGGTGGTGAGGAAGTCAGAGGCCTACTGTGGGAATCATCTTAGCTTTTGTGCCAGTCGTAGGGATAGAACTCGAGTTGTCGGGTTTGCTGGCAGGAGTCTTTATCGCAGCTGCCCGTCAGCCCATAGGATTCTTTATTTACAGGGTGTGTTGGAGCCTTGGCTCCATCTGTACTGAAAATAAAGCAACAGCCAAGCGAAGACAGCCTAAGGCCCATGCTTTGGTTAAGATCTGCTGCTCACTCAGGGTGCCAGCACCAATGTGGGCAAACACAGCAGGGCGTGTGAGATACTGCACTTCCCTCTGAGGCCGAAGAACAACTCTGAGTTCTGGATCAACTTGGGCTACTTAAAGAGAACCAGTCTTGCTGGGCAGTGGTGGCGCACGCCCTTAATCCCGGCACTCAAGAGGCAGGCGGATCTCTGTGAGTTCAAGGCCAGCCTGGTCTACAGAGCTAGTTCCAGGACAGGCTCCAAAGCAAACAAAGAGTCTCTAACAAACTACCCTCTTCCCAGCATCTGTTCTTCGAGGGCTTCTCAGCCTGCTCCTCCATTGGGGGAACAATGCAGGCTCATCCAGGTCTGTGTGAAAATGAAGATTCAGAAACAAGTTAGTGTGCAGGTATGGGGGTAGAGTGCACAAGTCAGGTCCTCCCTGCACAAAAACCCTTCTCAGTGTGGAGCATGCCTGCTACCAAGCATAGACCCACATGGTGGGAGTGAAGAGCCGGCTCCTGAAATCCCTCCTCTGAACCTCCACACTCCCGCCACCACACACGCGCGCACGGGCACGCACAAACACACACACACACACACACACACACACACACACTAAGAATATTTAAAGCCGGGCGGTGGTGGCGCACGCCTTTAATCCCAGCACTAGGGAGGCAGAGCCAGGCAGATCTCTGTGAGTTCGAGACCAGCCTGGTCTACAAGAGCTAGTGCCAGGACAGGCTCCAAAGCCACAGAGAAACCCTGTCTCGAAAAACTTAAAAAGAAGAAGAAGAAGAAGAAGAAGAAGAAGAAGAAGAAGAAGAAGACCTTATTTTAAAGAGGAAAACCTTAAAATAATAAAATGAGAAGAAGTTGTCCTTAGGGGAAGAACGCTTCCTTTCCAGGTGCCAGGACCCAAGTTCAAGTCTCCAGCACCAGGCAAGGTGGGGACAGTAGTTGGGTGCTGCCTGTAACTTGGGTACTACCAGGTGACGCCATGGAGACCCCCATGAGGAGGAAGACACCTGCTGTCATCCTTTGACTGTGGGGTGAGCCCTCACCACCCACCTTAGCACCGCATGGTGGTCTGTGCTATCACAGCGTCCCAGCACCAGGGAGGCAGAGACAGGAAGGCTGGGTTTGAGCCTAACATGGAATACAATCAAGTTTCCATCCAGCCTGAGCTACAGAGTGAAAATTCAGAATGAGGCTGAGGAACTGAGCTCCCATCCAGAAGGCCTGCAGTAAGGGTCTAGGGGGCATGGTCAGAGCAGAGGGGCCTTCTGGGAGAGTGATCGTGGGGTAGAGTCTCACCCAGAATCCACAAGGGAGGGGCTGGGGGTATGGTCAGAGGTAGGGTCCTGCCTAGATTCCTATAGTGAGGGGCTGGGCATGTGGTCAGGGATGCCCCACTCCAAGCATCCCCCAGTGAGGGGCGGTGGGCGTGGTCAGAGTGGAGCCCCGCCTAGAATCCCCCATGAGGAGCTGGGGGCGTGGTCAGGGTGCAGCCCCCTCCTAGAATTCCCAGTGAGGGGCTGGGGGCGTGGTCAGGGTGCAGCCCCGCCTAGAATCCCCAGTGAGGGGCTGGGGGCGTGGTCAAGGTGGAGCTCAGATCTGGCAAAGTCCAGATCTGGATTCTATTGCCAGTACTAAAGACAATCATGAAAATAATTTTAAATGAGTAAGAAAAAAATAGCTGTAAGCAATTTCTGGAAGGATTTCAAAGGATTCTAGTGAGAGTCAGCCTGAGGGTCTGGTTAATCTATTGTCATGTTGGAACTTAATTAAGCATTCCCCCAATTACTCTGTGGCCCACACAGGGTCACCTGAGGCCCACACAGGGTCACCTGCGGGGAGGGATCCGCTTTGGGGACGAAGCTGGGCTCCAGGCTGACCCGGGGCTTGTCTGTCACCCAGTTTCTGTCCCCATCCGAATCCTGTCATTCAGAGAAAAACCGCCATCATCCACACTTAGTATGCACCAAGTGAATGCATGTATTGTCTTCTATTTTTAGACCCCTCAGTTCTGCACCACAGCTGGCTAGTCTTGGGGGGCGGCACGCAGCCTCACCATTAGCAGAAGAGGGCTTAGATACATCCAAGGTGTTGTAGGGCCAAGTTCCCAGCACCCACCCTCCCCAGTTGGGGCTTGTTCACCACCATGCCCCAATTTTCAGACCTAGCTTCTCACCCATGTCCTTCAAAGAAAGCCCACCATCCTAGCATTTTCCTTGTCTGTTCCCACAGTCTAAAGGACCCTTCTGCATTTCTGGAACTCCTACTCGACCTGCAGAGCCCTGCTTCTTGGACCCAGCCTTATCCCTATCCCAGCTTCAGGTGCCGTGGTTCCGCGGTGCAGGCTCCTGTCCCCGCAGCGTGGAGGCGACGGTGTCTTAAGCTCCACGCCATGGAAACCTATCTCCGTGCCCCCTCTCCCCAACTCACCTCTACGAAATAAAAGCAAGGCAAGAGCGTCGTGCTGTCCTTCGGCGTTTTATTCTTCTCCTTCATAGCAATCATGGTGACACGGGCGCTGTAGGCCGAGGTTGCAGGGGACAAAGGCGCGCTGGAAACCAGGAGGTGCGCAGATGGAGTTCCCAGGTGGCGACACAAGGGATAGACAAAGCCACCCGGGGAAACTGAGGCTGAAGCGGAAGGGGGGTGCTTGGGGAAGGAGAATGCAGGAGCGCAGAAGGCTAGCTCACCTGGGAGGGCGGAGTCCGCCGCAGAGCGCGGACACAAAGCCCGGGACCCCGCGTGGGAGGGACGCGAGGCCGGGAGCGGTACGCGGGCGCGGGCTCTTTGTCTGTGGACTCTGCAGCCGCCCCGGCCCCGCCCCGGCCCCGCCCCCGGTTAGGGCGCCTCCGCCTCCGGCTCTGCGGGTCTCAGGGTCTTCGGCCCCGCGGGGGATCGCAATCCGGGTCCCTTCTCTGCCCCTGGAACGCGCCCTCCGTGCGCCTTGCGCGCGCACGATCAGTCTCAGGGACCTAGGGGCGGGCGGCGGAGTGCGGGGAAGGCGAGATCCCGCGGCCCCAAATCATCTCCCTGCGTCTCACAGTCGCCGAGTCCTCGGGCCCCCACGTCTCCCGTGCCCGCTGCTCGCTGGAGTCGGTTGCCATGGTGAGGTCCCTGGGCGCCTGAGGGAAAAGAGACAAAGACTCCCGGGTGGAGGAGCAGCCCTCACTCTACTTTCCCCCTCGTCCCCGCCCCTCCTTTTCTCCATCCAACCTTCAGGCCCTCCTCACCCACCCGCCTGACCCTATACAGCCGATGGCCTGGAGGATAAATGCACCTAGACAGCGCTGGCTCGACAGAGGCAGCCCAGTAAGGTAGCCACCGCATCCCAGTTGGAGCAAACCGAGGCCCAGAGAAGTTAGGAAATCATTCTGTAGGTATAGTGAGTGAGCTTACTGTATACCAGATCCCTAATAGACACTTGGGATTCCCTGGGCTATGGCTACATAGTAAGACATTGTCTTAAAATAAGAACTGAACTGGGGGCCGGGCGGTGGTGGCGCACGCCTTTAATCCCAGCACTTGGGAGGCAGAAGCAGGCGGATCTCTGTGAGTTCGAGACCAGCCTGGTCTACAAGAGTTAGTTCCAGGACAGGCTCCAAAACCACAGAGAAACCCTGTCTCGAAAAACAACAACAACAAAAAAAAAAAACAAAAACAAAAAAACAACAACAACAAAAAAAAGAACTAAGCTGGGGTTAGCTGGTCATGCTACAAGCAGGAGGCAGGAGGACCTCGTTCGAATCCCCAGCACCCATATAAAAATCCATCCATGGTGTCATATCTAACCCCAGCGCTGGGGAGAGCAGGACCGAATGATCCCTGATCCTAATCAAAGAGACGAAACATAAGGTAAAACTGGGGGTGACTGTGTACATCTGTAATCTCAGCCACTTGTGAGACAGAGGCAGAGGGATTCTATGAATCCCAAGACCCTGTTTCCAAAAAACAAAACCAGGCCTGGGCGGTGGTGGTGGCATAGGCCTTTAATCTCAGCACTCTGTGAGTTTGAGGTCAGCCTGGTCTACATAGCAAGTTCCAGGACAGCCAGGGCTACAGAGAAACCCTGTCTCAAAAAACCAAAAAACCAAAACCAGAACAAAAAAAAAACAACAAAACACAAAAACAAAGTGGGCAGCTCAAAGGGCACACGAGCAAACAGGGAAACAGGCAAAATGCAGGGCAAGGGAGTAAGCACAAGGTCATCTGAAGGGCATGGAGGGTTGATCCATGGAGCACCTACAGTGTCCACCCTGCTCTAATGTCCTGCCCACCCCACTAATTCCCCCACTGCCCACACCACTGCTCCCCCACTGCCCACACCACTGCCCACACCACTGCCCACCCCACTGTTCCCGCACTGCCCACCCCACTGCCCACACCACTGCCCCTCCACTGCCCACCCCACTGTTCCCGCACTGCCCACCCCACTGCCCACCCCACTGCCCACCCCACTGCTCCCCCACTGCCCACACCACTGCCCACCCCACTGCTCCCCCACTGCCCACACCACTGCTCCCCCACTGCCCACACCACTGCTTCCCACTGCTCCCCCACTGCCCACACCACTGCCCACACCACTGCTCCCCCACTGCCCACCCCAATGCTCCCCCACTGCTCCCCCACTGCTCCCCCACTACCCACCCCACTGCCCACACCACTGCTCCCCCACTGCCCCTGCCCTGCCCACCCCACAGCCCACACCACTGCCCCTCCATTGCCCACCCCACTGTTCCCGCACTGCCCACACCACTGCCCACACCACTGCTCCCCCACTGCCCACCCCACTGCTCCCCCACTGCTCCCCCACTGCCCACCCCACTGCTCCCCCACTGCTCCCCCACTGCCCACACCACTGCCCACACCACTGCTCCCCCACTGCTCCCCCACTGCCCACACCACTGCCCACACCACTGCCCCTCCACTGCCCACCCCACTGCCCCTCCACTGCCCACCCCACTGTTCCCGCACTGCCCACACCACTGCCCACCCCACTGCTCCCCCACTGCCCACACCACTGCCCACACCACTGCTCCCCCACTGCCCACCCCACTGCTCCCCCACTGCCCACACCACTGCTCCCCCACTGCTCCCCCACTGCCCACCCCACTGCTCCCCCACTGCTCCCCCACTACCCACCCCACTGCCCACACCACTGCTCCCCCACTGCCCCTGCCCTGCCCACCCCACTGCCCACACCACTGCCCCTCCACTGCCCACCCCACTGTTCCCGCACTGCCCACCCCGCTGCCTCTCCACTGCCCACCCCACTGCTCCTGCCCTGCTCTCTGTCCATCCCATTACTCAGTGTTTGTTTTCCCAAACTCAAGCTCAGCTCAAGGTTCAGAGTCTCCTTATGGGAACAGCAAGTTCCAGGCCTAGTGGCCACACACAGCAGATGTTCCTGCTCCACAGAGGTGCCCTGCACAAAGCCAGGCATGGTTGTGCTGCTCTTGGGCAGATGAGGCAGGAGAATTGCTATGAGTTTAAATAACTCCTGGGCTGCACAGCAAGACCCTGTCTCAAAACAAAACCAAAAACAGCCAGGCGGTGGTGGTGCACACCTTAAATCCCAGCACTCTGGAGGCAGGAGGCAGGAGGCAGGAGGATCTCTGTGAATTCAAGACCAGTCTGGCCTATAGGAGCTAGTTCCAGGGCAACCTCCAAAGCTACAGAGAAGCCTATCTTGAAAAAGAAAATCAAAGAAAAGAAAAAGTATTTGGTGTGGCAGGTCCATTCCTGTCATCCCACACCCCAGAAGATGAGGCAGGATTGTTGTGAGTTCCAGTCTAGCCTGGGCTACAGACTGTACTGCAGTCAGACTGTGTCTCAAAAACAAGCAAATGAAGTAACGCACACCTATGATCTCAGCACTTGGGAGGAAGAGGCAGACGGATCTCTGAGTTTGAGGCCAGCCTGGCTACAGAGTGAGTTCGAGCACCGCCTGGGCTACAGAGTCTCCATTTCAAAAATGGAAACAAACAAGTTACAGAGAGGATGGTAAAAGTGGCCCACGCAGGCTCAAGGACATTACTGTCCACCAGTGTTCAGGGAAAGGGGTGGGCCAATCCCCCTGGGGCAGCCCTTCGCCGTAGTTCTTGGGGCACAGGGCACAGGAAAGCGGCAGTAGAGAAACCCAGAGGGGGACACAGAGACCTAGGGGAGCCTTGGGCTCAGTTTCCCTGTTAGTAGGGGAGGAGCTTGGGTGACCTCTTAGGAATTCTAGTGTTGAAGGAAGGTCCTGGGAGAAGGAGGAAGCTGTGGCAACCAGTGTGACAGGCAGGGGATGAGTGGGGGAGGAGGATTTGGGGTCTTCCAGGTGGAATCTCCACATGGCTATGAGGAGCTGGGCTCTGGTGGCCATATGGCCTATGAGAGATCTGGATGTCAGCAGTGGCTAGGGAGCCTGGGCTGGTTTAAGATCAAGGGCAGGAGGCTGAACATCGTATCCTAAAACTCTGCTGTAATCCCAGCATCCAGGAGGCTGGACCAGTCCTAACCCCAGCACTCAGGAGACAAAGGCAAACACAGCTCTATGAGTTGGGGGCCAGCCTGGTCTACATGAGATTTTGTCTCAGAAATGTCCAAAAACAGAAGGTCCATTCAGCCCTCCCCAGGACGGGACACGCTGTGGCACCCGAGCGATGGAAGGTCACTAGGGAGTCTCCTTGAAGATCAGAAGACACTGGTGTCTCAGCCTCATGAGCTCAAGCAGGAGGAGGTGTGGGATGAGGAAGAACTTTGGATGGTGCCATTACTCTGAACCAACACTGGGCCGAGTCTCCCCAGCCGTTGGGTTGTGTAAGAAGTTGTCCTGGAACCCCATGGACCTCTGCCAGTGAGGAGGCTACATTTCAAAACGAAAAAACCACACAACCTTTCTCTCTCTCTCTCTCTCTCTCTCTCTCTCTCTCTCTCCTATTTCCAGTCTAACTGGTCTGTGGTTTCTTTCTCTTTGTGTGGTTTATTATTTTAACTCAATTTAATTAATTAACTTCTTTATTTGTGGGCTGTCAAGATGGCTCAAAGGGGAAAGGCATTTGCCGCCAAACCCGACTACCTCAGTTCACTACCAGAGACTCATATGATGGGAGGGAAGAATTGACTTCTAAGAGATGTCCTTTGACCCTTTGACACACACACACACACACACACACACACACACACACACGGGGGGGGGAGAGAGAGAGAGAGAGAGAGAGAGAGAGAGAGAGACATGTAGGAAGGAAAGAATTAATTTTTGTAGTACTGGGGTGGAACCCAGGGTCTCACATCCTAGGCAAATACTTCACCATCCCCCATTCCATTAGCTATATTCCAGCATTCTGAGTTTAGACTGTTTTATAATAAATGGATATATTTGCCCTGTGATCCCAGCACTTGAGAAATGGAGGCAGGAGGGTTGATATGAGTTCTGGGTCATCCTGAGATTTAACAAAGTGGGGGGGTGATGGGAAGGGAAGGGAAGTAAAGGGAAGGGGGCTGGGAGATAGCTCAGTGGGTCAAGTGCTTGTGGCACAAGAGAGGATTGGGATTCTGGTCCTCAGAACTGTCCCTGCCCCACACCTGGTGAAGAACTCCATGGTGGAGACAGCCTGCTTGTATTCCCAAGTTTGGGTGGGAGCAGGGCCCGGCAACGACAGGGATTCCCCGCTCCACCGCAAGCAGCAGCTAGTGAGTAGGCAAGTCCTGCCTCTGTGTCAGGCGGTGAAGACCTGAGGGACATGTCTTGGCCACCTCAGGCATCCATGTGTCTACACATCTGCCTGCACAAAAATAAAAGTGAGAGAAAGAAACAGAAAAAAGCTAGTTATTTTTTAAAGATTTATTAATTTATTATGTATGTATCCCTGCATGACAGAAGAGGGAAACAGATCTCATTACAGATGGTTGTGAGCCACCATGTGGTTGCTGGGAATTGAACTCAGGACCTTTGGAAGAGCAGGCAGTGCTCTTAACCACTGAACCATCTCTCCAGCCTCAAAGCTAAAGTTACTTAAAAAAAGAAAGAGAGAGAGAGAGAGAGAGAGAGAGAGAGAGAGAGAGAGGAATAGGAAATGATCCCAGTGTGAAAGCAAAGCCCAGGCCACAGGAGGCTGGGGCAGGGCGGAGGGGAGTTCAAAGCCAACCACTGCAGAAAGGGAACACACACTACCACACTAAGGAGAAATAATAATGATCCCTAAAGAGAAAACCCAGGCAGGATATGACCAATTGGATCACAGGGCCCTGTGGCTGTCAGTCAAGGCCTCTTCCAGGACCCTCAGCATGCAATGGGTGGCAGCTGGCTTCCCACGCCTCCAGAGAGACCCCTTTATCCTGCCTTACTGCATACTCTCCTGGGCCCCAAAAATGGAAGGAGGAAGTGGAATACCCAGCCTGGCCGGCCTTCAGCCACCGTTCAACGGCTCCCCACAGAGCTGGGTATAAGAGGGGCTCAGCAAGCGGGGGGCCAGGAGCCTGGCCATGGCCAGAAACCACCCATCCCCCTGCTGGGTTCAACCCTTCCTCCTGCTTGCCCTGGTCTTTAGCGGTGAGTAGGGGTCTGTCCATCAACCAGTACTCTCCTGGCACAGCTGGGGAGACCAGGGCACCCCTTGGCTAAGTGCTTGGGAGGAGAAGGATGAAGAGGAAGAAGCCTAGGTCTTTGGACAGGGTCTCACGTAGCCAAGACTGGCCTTGAACTCACTTTATAGCCTCAAGTCTCACCTCCCCGGTACTAGGATGGCAGGCTGCCACCACTGTGCTGGCTTTCTGTGGTGCTGGAGATGGGTTCCACGGCCTTATGGGTGCTGAACAAGTGCTCTGCCCACTGAGTTGCAGCCCAGCTTCACTCCCTTGATTGTTTTCTCTTAGAAGTCTCTATGACTGTGCTACCCAGAGGCCCTTGCTGTAGGGGGGGATTTCTAGGGAATGCAGAATTGCAGAAACTGGGATTAGTGGCGCAGGCCTTTAATCCCAGCACGGGCAGGATCTCTGTGAGTTTGAGGCCAGCCTGGTCTACAGAGTGAGACACAAAATAATAACCATAGATTCAAGCCAGGACCCACAAATCCTCCCCAGGCATGGGTCTCCCTGAGGCCATAGCACTGACTGACACCTTCCTCCCTCAGGTGCAGTCCAGGCCTCCCAGATCGTGGGTGGACGTGAGGCTCAGCCCCATTCTCGGCCTTATATGGCCTCCCTGCAGCTGAGCAGGTCCCCTGGGAGCCACTTCTGTGGTGGCACGCTGATCCACCCGCGGTATGTGCTGACGGCTGCCCACTGCCTGCAGGACATGTGAGTACAACAGCCAGGGGCCAGTGAGGAGGCTGCAGGGCTTAGCTGACCCACCAGGCTGGGTGCCCCGTAGTCACTTCCCCTCCCAGTCCTTTCCCTCTCTCCCAGCCTCAGCTCTGCCCCAGTTTCTACTCCAGGAAACTACCATAAAGCTTTCCTCTCACCTAGACGACCCCAGTGAGGGGCTGGGGCGTGGTCTGGGGTGAGAGGGCCTGGGTCCCTGTAACAGACAAAATTCCACGACCCTGGCCCCACAGCCCCTGGCAGCTGGTGACAGTGGTGCTGGGTGCCCACGACCTGCAAAGCCAGGAGCCTGAGCAGCAGAAATTCACCATCGTTCAGGTCTTCCAGAACAACTACAACCCTGAGGAGAACCTCAATGATGTACTGCTCATTCAGGTAGGTCGGCCCCGCAGAAGACACCGGGAGCACCTCTTTTATGCTGTGCCGGGACCATGAAGGTGTCAGTGTCTCAGCTTCTGCCCCAGCTGTGCTTCCTGTCTGGTGCGCTTGGTTGGTGGCCGCAGTTAGGGTTAGGGTTGAGGCTACGTTTTGGTTACTGCTGGGGCCATGGCCAATGTTAGGGTTATGGTCAGAAACAGAGCCTGAGTTAGGGTCTGGGTCAGGATTAGGGTTAACGGGGTGGGGGGGGGGTTGTACAACAGTCAATCTCACCGCCGGAAACCTTCCCTCTGCATCATGCTGTATGAACCGACAGCTCTCTCCAGAGAGTTTTTCCTGAGGAGCTGGGACTGACCACCAACAAAGCTTCAAAGCTCTCCACAGAGCAGGATATTCAGTTGAGTTTTTGTTTGGTTTTTGTTTTTTGAGACAGGGTGTCTGTGTAACGACCCTAACTGTCCTGGAACTCGCTCAGTAGACCAGGCTGGCCTCGAACTCACAGAGATCCGCCTGCCTCCCGAGTGCTGGGTTTAGGGCATGAGCCCCCACTCAGCTGTTGCTGTTTAAGTGCTCGGCCTGAAAGAAATGTTAGGTCCCTAGGGTGGCGGGTGGGGAGGAGGCCTCACATCTTTTCTGCAGCTGAACCGGCCAGCCTCCTTGGGCGAGAAGGTGGCGCTGGCCTCGCTGCCCCAGCAGGGCCAGTCTCTGGCCCAGGGCACCCAGTGCCTGGCCATGGGCTGGGGCCGCCTGGGCACCCGCGCGCCCACGCCACGCGTGCTGCAGGAGCTGAACGTCACGGTGGTCACCTTCCTGTGCCGGGAACACAACGTGTGCACGCTGGTGCCACGGCGGGCAGCTGGCATTTGCTTCGTGAGTGCTGGGCTGGGCCGTGGGAGGCGTGGCCTGTGATTGTGGGGCGGGGCCGCTCTGTGGGGGCGGGGCCTCTGGGGGAGCTTGACTCTTCCCAAGTGGCCTCATCCCGGCTGACTTCGGTCAGCTTGGGGACGGATCACTCTTCTGCCTCAGGGAGACTCGGGCGGCCCCTTGATCTGTGATGGCTTTCTCCACGGAGTCGACTCCTTCGTGATCCGGGAATGCGCTTCCCTCCAGTTCCCCGACTTCTTCGCCCGGGTGTCCATGTACGTGGATTGGATCCACATGGTGCTCAGGGGCGCTGAGCCTTGAGCTACCCTTCCGCACTCCAGTCTGTCTGGAGCAGGGTGGTCCTTCCAGGCTTTTCCTCCAGCTGGATCCAGCTCCGCACCCCCTGGAGTGGAGCCAGCTCTGTCCCCCAGTCCCTGTGACCTCAATAAATCTGAGAAGTATTTAAAAGCTGTCTTCTGTCTGTCTTACCTCATGTGGACCTGGGATGTGGCCAGAGCCTCGGTGTTGGAGGCCGGGGATTTACCACAAGGGTGGAGGGGAAGCCAGGCTCACTCCCAAACCGCAGCGGTTGGATTCAGCACCCCCTTTGCTTCTCACCTCCGTGTCTCAATTCCCCTAACTAGAACCGGGACACATCCCAGACGTGGATGTGGGGCTGATGGGGTTTGGTGAGGTGTCCCCCAGCTTCGGACTCCTTGAAGCCCGGGCTCTTTTCACACCACAGTGGGTAGGGGCTGGGCTTCTCGGGGCCTCACGGTTGTAATCCTGTCAAAGCAGATAGGAGGCCTTCCTGGTGGAGGAGGCAAGGTGGACGGCAGTGGGAAAGCCGGGAGTAGGGGCCGGGACCCAAGGGACGGGCACAGCGAGGCCAGAAGAGCAAGGGGCAGCCGTGGAAGCCTCGGGTTTTCCCCAGCGACAGGGAAATGAGCTGGGGCCAGCACAGGGAGGAGGAAAAGAGGTCCCAAGCCAGCCCTGAAAGGGTGAGAGAGGGGCGGTCTCCTCACAGGGTCTTAAGAAGTGGGAGTGGGCTGCTCTCTGACTTTTCTTGGTGCCGCCATTTGGTGGCGCTGTTCCGGGGCCACAGGCTTATTCCTTCTCTAACATTGCTTTGGCTTTGGGAGTCTCATGAAAACCAGGCTAGCCTCTAACTCCCTACAAAGCCAAAGATCCTCCTGCCTCCACCTCCCAAGTGCTGGGATGACAGGTGTGAGCAGCCACTCCGGGGCTTGGTGTGCTCCAGGAGGGCAACTGCCCACTGAACCCCAGCCTCTTTTTAATCCTCCAACTCCTGGGGATGGGTCCCCAGTGTGTCACGCCGTGTGCAGACTGTTTCTTATGGAGACACTGGGGATCTGGGGACACTAAATGGAGTCAGAGAAGAGCCTGAGCTCAGAGGTGTTCCCTCGGGGCCTGGAATTCCACAGCAGAGGAATATGAACCCGAATGCAGACCTAACCTGCGCAGCACTGATGAGCACAGCATATAGGTGGTGCTCAATAAGTGTAGCTGTGGTGAGACCTGGTCTCCTGATCTTGTTTGCCCTGCCCTCCCCTCCAGGCGGCAAGGGATGGTGTATACAGCAGACACTCACTGTGTAGAAGAAAAGGAGTCGAGTTAGTGTGTATCTGGGTGAAAGAGGGCAGTTGTCCCCACTGGGGTCCCAGGCACCCTGGCCACCTGCCCATGTTCGTTGGGCTCCACCCCACCATGCCCGATCCTAGAGTTGGGACGTTGGTTTTGCAACAGCCTTGGCAGCAGCTCCTGAAAGAGATGGGAGGGGAGCTGGCCACAGAGTGAGGGGAGGGCTGGGCCCCCCGAGTCCTGTCTCCTTTGTGGGAGGGGAACCCACAGTCTGGATAGCAATTCCTTCTCACGGGTACCCAGGCATGGATGGGGTCAGATGGGAGTGAGCTCTCCACTGTGAGGAGACCCGCAATTTAGGGGCTACGCTGCTGCAGTGTGAGCCAGGTTAAGATGACCCGTTGTGCTGGGCACGGGCCGTGCGTGGGCATGATGGCGCCACACACCGTTAGTCCTAGTGCGGGGCAGGCAGAGCAGGCGGATCTCTGAGGGGCCAGCCTGGGCTACGTAGTGAGACCTTTTCTCAAGCGCACACACAGACACACTCACCTGTCACTGGGTGGGTAGAGCTGCCATGTCCCTCAATTTTTCTGGTTTAAGTAAGGATCCAGCCAGCCACTCTGTCACCCCAGGAAAAAGTCAGGCTGGCACTGGTCCCTTTGAAGACCCAGCGCGCCACACGTTGCTGTTATTATCACGCCTAAGGCAAACTGAGGCAAAGGACTTGGCCTTCAGATATAAGTAGCTGGGTACAGGGCGCCAAGCTGAGCCTGGAGGGCATGCCTGCCATCCCAGCACTCAGGAGGTGGAGGCCGGGAAACTAAGAGTTTGAGGCCAGCCTGGGCTACCTGAGATTCTATTTTATTTATTTATTTATTTATTTATTTATTGGGACACAATTTCTCTGTGTAGCCCTAGCCCTCATGGATCCTGCTGTAGCCCAGGCTGACCTTGAACTCACTGAGATCCACCTGCCTGCCACTTCCCAAGTGCTGGGATCAAAGGCGTGCACCACTGCTGCCCAGCGTGAGGGTCTAGTTTTTAAAAAGGAGGAGAGAAAAGGATGGCTTGCTGAGTGTTCATTGCTATTCAATAGCAGGGATGAAGCTGAAGTGGGGACCCCGGGGGGCACACACCTTTCCTTGTCACCCCCACCATCCTGTCCCCAGGGAGGAAGTGGGGCTGTGGCCAGCATGGGGCAATTCAACGGCCTCTGGCTGGGCTATAAGTATGGCTGTTAGGTAGGGGCATGGGAAACCACGAGAGCACAGCCTCACCATGGCCCTCAGCCGATCATCCAGCCGAACTCTGGCTCCCGTGCTGCTGTCTTTGCTCCTGGGTGGTGAGTGCGCATGGAGGCGCAGCCCACCCCACTGACCGCTTGTCCGGCTCCACTGTCTTTCCCCGGGTCCCCCAGGACTTTAGAAAGACATGGAGGTTTCTGGTGGGCAGGGCACTATCAGGAAACGGGGATTCTTTTTGTTTGTTTATTTCTCTGTGTAGTTTTGGAACCTGTCCTGGAACTCCCTCTGTATACCAGGCTGGTCTCGAACTCAGGAGATTCACTTGCCTCTGCCTCCTGAGTGCTGGCATTAAAAGTGTGTGCCACCATTGCCAGGCAAAAACAGGGGTTCTAAGCCTGGGGGAGGTGCTTGGGTCTCAAGTCCAGGAGCACCTGGGCAGGTCCATTATCCTCTCTGCCTCAGTTTCTCTCATCAACCTTCTGAATTCTCATTAAGGGTTCATTCAAAGAACTTGGTGGCTGGGGCTCACTCTTCCTCCCTGTGTCCCTAGGTCCAGTGCTGGCCTCAGAGATTGTGGGTGGCCAGCCAGCCCAGGCCCACGCTTGGCCCTTCATGGCGTCCCTGCAACGACGTGGAGGTCACTTCTGTGGCGCTACACTCATCGCCAGAAACTTTGTCCTGTCAGCAGCCCACTGTGTGAACGGCCTGTGAGTCCTGCCTCCACCACTCCCAGACCTCAGCATCCACATGGGCCAGAATGGGGAGGTCAGGTGGGGCCTCCCACCCACACTCCTCCCCCCTTTCCCCTCTTGGCTGTCTATAGAAACTTCCGGTCGGTGCAGGTAGTCTTGGGGGCCCACAACCTCCGGCGTCGGGAACCCACCAGGCAGATCTTCTCGGTGCAGCGGGTCTTCGAGAATGGCTTCGACCCCTCGCGTCTGGTGAACGACATTGTAATCATGCAGGTGAGCTTGGGAGTCCGGGAGGGTGAGCCTCGGGTGTAAAGGCTTGAGAAAAGCCCAGTGCAGAAGGGTCTGGGTTGGGGGGACGGACACACCAGTACAACTGCAGCCACCACCCCCTGACCCTGTTCCAGCTCAGTACAGTGGAGAAAAACCGTTCTGTGGGCCAGATGGTGAGGGTGCAGCATTCAGTCAACAAATGCCTAAATTTTTTGTGCCTCTCCACTCACTGACCCTGCGGCTCTGGGGATCCTGGGGGGAACACTCGTGTCTTCCTCAGTGCGTCTTGGGGGCAGGACACTAAGGAAAGTGGGGACACACGATGCCCAACGTGGCCTGTGACTCCTTCATGGTTTCTAAGTCTCTCCTCTCACCACAGCTCAATGGCTCAGCCACCATTAACACCAACGTGCAGGTGGCCCAGCTGCCTGCCCAGGGCCGTGGTGTGGATAATGGCACTTCATGCCTGGCCATGGGCTGGGGCAGGCTGGGCACAAACCGACCTTCACCCAGCGTGCTCCAACAGCTCAATGTGACGGTGGTGACAAACCTCTGCCGCCGCCGTCTGAATGTATGCACGCTGGTGCCGCGGCGGCGAGCAGGCATCTGCTTCGTGAGTGCCCAGGAGGGACTTGCCAGTGCGGGGTGTGGGCAACGGGGCCTCGAGGTCCAGTCTCTGACCTTGATGCTTCCACAGGGGGACTCTGGAGGACCTCTGGTCTGTAATGGGCTTGTCCAAGGCATCGACTCCTTTATCCGTGGGGGCTGCGGGTCTGGATTGTTCCCAGACGCCTTTGCGCCTGTGGCCGAGTTCGCAGATTGGATCAACTCCATTATCCGTGGCCATGATGACCACCCCAACACCCACCCCAGAGATCCCGAGAGTGGGACCAGCTAAGACCTGCCTGTCCTCTCCCTGCCATCAACCTCATCCATGATGACCGCCCCATATCCACCCCGGAGATCCCGAGGGTGGGACCAGCTGATTGGCCCATCCCCTCAGCTGGCGGCCCTCAATAAAAGCAATGTTACCACAGAGAAACCCTGTCTCGAAAAACCAAAAAAAAAAAAAAAAAGCAATGTTTCCTTGGTACACAGGATCTGGTGTCTGTTGACCATGCCACAGAATGCAGAACAGAGCCACTGCCCCGTGTGAGGGGCACCTCCTGGGGTCACTGCCTCGTGTGAGTGTGAGGGGCATCTCCTGGGGTCAGTTGCCGAGTTGGGGCAAAGTCGCAGCAAGAGGCATGTTCTCCACTTTGTACAAAAGGCTATCACTGCCTGGCGGTGGTGGCGCACGCCTTAATCCCAGCTCTCGGGAGGCAGAGGCAGGCGGATCTCTGTGAGTTCGAGGCCAGCCTGGTCTACAAGAGCTAGTTCCAGGACAGGCTCTAAAGCTACAGAGAAACCCTATCTTGAAAGAAGGAAAAAAAAAAAAAGGTTATCACTGAGACACTGAGATGACCGTTGTGGGTTTCTGTTCCTAAAACCCACGTTCAGCTAGGTCTCAGCA